TGCCGGGTGCGGAGCTGCCGCGGCGCTCGGGTCGGGCAGCCCTGGGCGCCCTGAGGCGCCTCCTTCCCGCGCGGCCTCCCCAGCGCGCTCCGGTATGAAGCAGTCCATAAAACGCTAATTGAGCTTGAAGGAGTTAGCAGGAGCTGCCGACCCTTAATCCCTTCCCATCCTGAATCGCCCGTGAGGATTTTCCCTGAAAACTTGACAGGATCCTGGGAAAACAGAGCTAAGGTGGGAGCTGAGCCCCTTTGGGGAGGGGGCTGCACCAGTACCCTGGTACCCTGGCCGGGTGTGCAGGCACCACGAGGACAAGGACATCATGCGGAGGGTCCCCAGAGCGGTGGCTTCACCTGTGCTTTAGCCTTCGCTGAGGAGCCCTTTGCCGCGCGTGTGGGATACGAACCCGCGTTTTGGGGACCGAAAGGCCAGTGCGGGGAAGGAGCGCCCACAAAACCGCCCCTCACTGCCCGTCTGCCTCCTTTCAGAAACACGAGTTCTTTGTGGACATGACCTGCGAAGGCTGCTCCAATGCGGTCACCCGGGTCCTGCACAGGCTGGGAGGTGAGTGGAGCACCCGTGGGTGCTGCGTGAGGGGCTGCGGGTCCCTCTCCCGGGGTCCTCTGGTTTGCAGGTTTAACGCTGTGGATAAGAGCTGGGAGCAGCGGTTTGGAAACCCCTTCTCCCCACCCTGCGGCTGAGCAAGGAGCGTGCGGGTTAGTGAGTGACAAATCCCGGATCCTTAGCAGGACTCCTGGGACCTGGGAGAAGGGCTGAAAGGGTGAGGGAGGGCGGCAGGAGCTGCCCCGTGGCTGCAGGAGGCTCCGCTCGCCCGGCTCTGTGAGTCAGGAAGGGAGGTGGAACCTTGCGAGCGTTGTCCTAAGGAGGCCCAGGATGTCCGGGGTGGTTCCCTAGGGTGTCACCTGCTTCCAAGCACAGAGTAATCACTCTGAAAAGCTGCAAAGCTCAGGGATTCTCTCCACAGCCATTTTTTTTTTTTCTTTTACCATTGGGAAAATTATAACCTATGCCTCCGTCGTGCTGAAATTACCAGGAAAGAAGGATCAGGTCTGTGCTCATCAGTCAGGAGGAGCTGTCACGCTGCTCCCCTTCCCCACCAAGGGAGATTGGCTTGCAGGCACCAAGCCAAAGGCTCTGGGGTTTCTCCAGGCCCCACTGCCTGGCAGAAGCAATTCCACTTTGTGTGTGTTTGCAAGCACTCCTCACTCTCGAACATGCTGGCCAATTTCCACCTACTGTGATGAAGTGGCAGAGCTCTCAAAAATGCTTCACTCCTGCAATTTTTGCGAAAATAGGTGTCTGGATACAGACTTCATGACCACTTCCTCCCACTGGGCTCAAAGGGGCTCACCCTTACTAGCCACTGGGAGATCCACATGGAAAAGTGCCTTGTGCTTCCTCCTGCTTGCCCCTGGAAGAGCCTGTCCTGCCCCTGTGCCAGTCAGCCCTGGTGCCCATCACACCTGGACCACAGCACGGACTGAGCTGGCTGGAGAACACGGTGGCTGATTTAAACTCAGCTCGCCCTAGATATTGCATGAAGGAGGGTGAGCATCCCTCACCTCAGACCGTTCCTTGGAACGTGTTTTTCCTCTCCTCTTAGGTGTCCAGTTTGACATTGACCTGCCCAACAAGAAGGTGTGCATCGACTCGGAGCACAGCGTTGACACGCTCTTGGAAACCCTGAAGAAGACTGGAAAGAATGCGTCCTACCTGGGGGAGAAGTCTGTGCAATAGACTGCCCTGGGGTGATGAGGTTAGATATAAATACTGGGCATGTGAAACACTGCGGAGGGAGATCTGAGCTTGTTCCAGCTCTGCCAGTAAACCAGGCTGCTTCCTGGGAGGCACAAAGGAGGACAGACCTCCTGGGGCACCTTCAGCAAGCTCCTCACATGGAATTAGTGCCTGGATCACATGCAGGCAGCTCCCCTGCTGCTTGGGACCCCTTGGTTATTCTGCAAAGCCTACGTGGCCATGGTTGCCAAAGGAGGCTAGAATCCGGCAGTTTGGGAAGTTTTGAGTGATGTTTTTTATCAGCTGGTCAGATTGCATGGAGAAGTAGGATACGGGCTGTGTGCCTTTCTCAGGGGAACCTGGAGTTTTGCTAGAGCAGATCACCATGAAAACAGACCCAAAGGCATCACCAGCCGGGCAGAAGTCACAGCCCCAAATGTTATCAGGGGGGGCAGTGGGGCAGAGGGCCCTGTGTGGCTGTGTGTGCAGGAGGTTGTTCATTAGCAAAGGGATCTCCAGCTTCAGCTTTTATTGCTTTTGCTGTTACATCCTCCACCAAACAAGAAGATGGAAAGGAGCTGCCCTCACAGGTAGAAAGTGCTGGATTTCAGCTCAGTTCCCAGTGCCTACAGCCCCAGCCAGACAGGCATCTGTGCCACAGACAACCTGATCACTGCAGCCTGTGCATTTACCTGGAGCCCCAGCACTACGCTGCCATATACCAAACTCTCACCCAACTGTGGAATATTTTTACAAGAAAGGGTACCACTTAGTGAAAAAGAATGAAATGGGAGGAGAGGGTTGTTACCTCATTGCAGATGCTGTTCTTTTTGTCCCAAATCATATAGCATCTCTGAAAAGCTTGTTTCTGGCAGTGTAGCTTTCCAATTCAGCAGTATTTTGTAAATGATTTAGTTTTGATCACATGGATGCCCAGCATGGAGGCACTGAAACCATTTCATGCTGATTTAATTTCCAGTTGATAACCGTAGTTTAAACTGGTACTTTACAGCAGCAGGCATTAAGCTGACAAAAGAAAGGGTTGAACTGATTCCAGTGTGCCTAAGCAAGCCCAACTTAACAGATTTTAAATCTGTGCATTTTTATCATGTGAACAACCTCGCAGTACTTCTGAGATGCTATTTAAATCCTAATTTTCTAATCAGACATTATTGATATTTAAAACAGACAGAGAATCATATTATGGGTTGAATAGGATAGAGTATTTTTCACCTCCTAGTCTGTATTGACTGCAAGAGCTCCTTTCAGTTTCTGGGGACTGGGCACGATATCTCAAAGGTCTGCAAAGTTACTCAAGGCTGCAGTTTCCCATGAGTTTCTCTTATATTAGATCAAGGCAACTAGAAGAGCCCGTTCAGCTGGATAGGCTGGAGGAAAACTACCATTTTCCTAAACGCTCCCTCCCCTCCACCACTGGATTTAAATTGAAGCTAGTTGGTTTGGCCAATAATCACTGAATCCAAAACAAAGGAGGGGGAGGCTGGTTTGCCCCTTCTGGTAGTTTGTTGTTAGATGACTGTAGCTGTCATGGGAAAAGTCACTCAAGTTTTACAGCATGTTTGCTTCCACAATTTCCACATGTTTGCTTCCCATTTTTAGGGGTTTGTTTGCAGGGGGTGACAAATCCCTGACACAGAGCTCAGATCAGTGCCTTTCCTTTGGGCAGTGACCGGCAGAGGGCATCTTTGTATAACGTTATTGCCTCTATGCCTTGTTTCTATCATTTATTTATTTGCTTATTTATTTATTTATTATTTTAGGAACTCAGCTATGACTTCAGAAAAAAGACAACTTAACTGTTTACATATCTCCCAGCTTGCCCTGTCGTTGGAGCTTTGCTACCCTGCCAGATGTCAGAAAGCAGCGGGCTGGCAGGAGGAGACGGCTGCATCCTGCCCCTGGAAGTGCACAAAGTAGGGAAGGAGGTGACATTCTGTTTTCAAACACTCAGTAAATCAAAGCAGTGCTTCTATATTTCAGTGCATGTCTGTGTGTCTTGTGTGTCTTTGCACTGCTTTAGATGGCTTTCTGCAAAAGAGATGGCTCTTAGGGACAGGATACAGCCCATTACATGTAGGACAAGCTCAGAGGAAATTGCACCTATCCGTAGAAGCTGGCTGCAGCCTCTGCATGCGTGTCAGGAGATTTGAATGTTGCTTGAATTGGGGGAATCTGTCTCTGCAGATGTTTGTGTTCATCACAGAACAGACAAACTTTCCATTTGGGCTGCAAAGCCTGGGAAGGAGGGACTTCTGCAGAGCGGGGCTGTAGCTCAGGGACAACCAAATATTATTTGGGGCCAGATGAGGCCATAAAAGCGGACTTCTCTGGTCTCCAGCAACGTGGTTCGCTGACAGCCTAACCAAATTACAGGTCGAAGCAGGAAACACAGATTCAGCTTAGGTTTAATACAGCGCTTTCTAGAGCACAGTGTGACCATATGCATGTGAGGAGTCATTCCGGATTCTGGCAGCAGCTCAAGACATCTGGATGAGTCCCTTCCCCCTGCAAGTGTTCCTCTTGCTCCCTTCCCAGCCCACTTAGAGAACATTTCAGCTAAATAGGTAATAGCATCATGGGGCTGTGATCCCAGGAGGAATCCCCAAGTGCTCTGTGCACACACGAACACAGTAGGAGAACTGTGCTGGTAAGAAATACAGAAGGCATGGAGGAAGCAGAGGGCTGTGGGAATCTCTCCAAGGTCTCTTAATTCTCAGCCCAGCATTCACTTCAAGGATTATACTGTTGCTTAGCTCGGTTCCCATCCATTTAATTCAGGTTTCTCAGGCCAGCATGTGCCATGCGTGTGTCCATCCCAGCAGGCTCTCATTGCACCTGGAAGACGTAACTCCTATCCCCACCAGCTGCATGTGGCTTGTTCTCCATCTTCTCTCCAGAAAGAAAAATCAACTAAAGTTTGAAAGAAATGTTTACTTAAATGTAAGGATTTTTTTTTCGCGCTTGTGCATTGAGTTCACTTTTGCCACAGTTGTAACTTTTTCCTTCCTAGAGATGTCCAGCAGTTCAAAGTCCTTTTTTTACCCCTGATCTAAAGCAGAGTGGGCTGCTGCAGATGCACTTGCAGGCTGGAGGCACTTCAAGGAGCACGTTACAGACATTTTCCTTTCTATTCCTTTTTAATTTAAGGGAAGCCAAATGCTAAAAGCTTCACGTCACCGCATGGCTCTCTTGCATTAAAGGCTCCGAGCGGCGGGCAGTTTGCCGAGCCAAGGCCGAGCGCCGCGACGTCTCTCTGCTTTGTGCCCGTGCGGTCACACGCAGCGAGCGGAGCTGCTCCCGCGCGCGTCCTTCCCCTCGGCCCTCTGCGGCGCGGGTCGGGGCTGCCGCCTGCCCATGTCCATTATTATTTATTGCTTTTGGCTTTCTTCCGGGGCCGCCTCCGCGGGCGGCCCCCTG